GTTCTTCGACGTTCTAGATGCTCTGGGTTCAGTGTTCACCGTAGATATGAAATTGAGAAAATTGAGTGAACTTCATCGGCGCCGACATCCTGTGGCCCTTTTTTCTTGGAAGTCTGGGGAAATTGAAGCTTCTGTGTCAAGATGCGATCCTTATCCTGACTTCGTTAGTTGCTTTTTGCGTTGTAGTGGTGACAGTTTTCAAGTACTCATCATCTCGAAGAGCTCGAATCCTCGAGTAACAATTCTGACACTGTTCTAGGCCGTCACCAGAGCTCACGCATTCCTCTGTCTCGTATCCCTAATGCCGGTTGGGGAGCAGGCTATTCGAGGTTGATCTGGGCTTTTCGTCAGGAATACCGAGGCAACGTCACTCTTGAACTTCCAAAATTGCATGAGACCCTAGGTAGCTCCGTCGTCGACCTCAAACCATTGACATGGGCGGCAACTAATCCTTTTGTCCTCCTAGGCCCTCTTATCCGAATTGGCCCCAATGAGCTGTCGTTCTACTCCATCGACATCTATGATACAGTCCATAAAGTCACGGCGGATTCGTAAAGGATCCCGAAACTATGGCGAATTCGTCCAAGATGAACACCCCGCACTCTTCTCTATCACGTTTCGTAATAACCCTCCAGAAGTAAACGTAGGGTTTCTTGCTGATAAGTCACAGAGATATTCAAGAGCATGCAAGAGGCGGAGAATCCTTGGCCAACTCTTCAGCCGCAGTAATATCGAGAAGCTTGAAGGATTATGCTTCACCACATTGAAAATTCATCTCGGCAGTTGGAAAAAGAAGTACCTTTTTGATGTAGGCCCTGCCTGCCGCGCCTTGGAGGCAGATATCATATGTGAGACCCAGGGTATGACCCAGCTCTACGTTCACTAGCTAACTTCTCAAGCGGAGTTTTCATTCGGCGAAGCCTTATCAGCCGTCTCTGCCTGGTCTAAAGGTGAAGAAAGTTGCTCTGTATCGAAGAAACGATGAAAAAGCGACCTTTTTTGCCTCTGTTGTTGTTGTTGTTGTTGTTGTATTTAACGCCGTGGCGGCCGGGCTAGAGCCCTTACCGCAGACCTCCCGAAGGGTATATGGCGTGGAGGGCCGTGAGCCAAGGCTACCTACTCTACAGTACGTCGTCTCTTTACATCGTCCTCCAAATCATGCCTTGTGGCCACTACGCGTTCTGTCTGTCCCCGGTTCCCGCTGGTGCCCCAGTTTCATTCTTTCCCAAATCGTCCCTTGGAATCGGGAGGTTCTTTGTAGTCCGCACTCACATCTACCTAGGTGTGGATGCTGCTACCGCAGACAGATCTTCTGGAAGAAGTCCGTCACGCGGAGAAAGGCCTCGAAGCCTCGTGGGTCGGTGATTAATCTCTTGAAGTAGGCCTCGAGAGATCCCATAGGACCTATGGGCTCGGGCATACTGCGAGAGTGGAGGGTCGGCCACCGTTGCCTCCTCGCCAGCGTTAGTCGACAGTAGACCAGGTGGTCCACGTCTTTCGCCTCTCCACAAGAGCACATCATTAGAGCGTCGTCGTGGTTGAAACGTCGGTGATATTGCTCGAAGTCCCCGTGACCCGATCGTGCCGCCAGCAGGTGATGTAACGTAGCCCGCGGCAAGGCCAGTTCAGGAGGGCTGGACAGAGCTGCCTCAAGCCCCAAGTCCGCGTACCGCGGCCTTCGCTCTTTATACCACCATCTCCTGTGCTGGCTTTGTAATTTTTCCCTTGCAAGCCGCTTGATGCCCGCTAGTGTTGCCATTTGACCCATCCGCGCCGGCAGTGTCGTTCCTTCTTTGGCCAGCCGGTCCGCGGCCTCGTTTCCTTCGATGCCCTGGTGTCCCGGGGACCAGTGCGTCCGTATATCAAATATCCTGGCCGCTTCTTGGATTTCGAGGAACGCGTCTTGTGACGAGTCCGGCGCCTTGCCGCGGATGCCTTGTATAACGCTGGTGTTGTCGATACATATGTGGATTGGATGACCGCGATTGGTGAGCAGAGCCCTTCTGAGGCCGGTTCGCGCCCCTTCGACCTCGGCGTCGAACACTTCTGCTAGTCCGAGTCGGCCGCACCCTTGCGCTATGCGTTTGGAGTCTCGGTAGATGACGAAGCCGTACCCCACGGCTCCGTTCGTCGCCCTGGAGCCGTCCGAGAAGACGATCATATGGCTTTCCGGTACTGTCTTTAGCCAGCGCTCGAAAGCTTTCGCAGCCTCTTCTTTGCATTGAACTACTATCTGATCCTGTGAGCTTGGCAGGTACTGTGATTGGAGGAACGTTGGTCTTCCGCATCTTGGCAGAAGTTCAGCCGTCCGTTGTAGTCTCGTCTGTTGCTGTCCCTGCTGGGAGAGCCGCGCGACTAGCGGGTGTCGGCGATCAATCCTCTGTAGTCGGACTGCGGCCCGTAAACGGACGCCTTCTAAGGCGACTTTGGCTGACGGTAAGCCGGCGTCTCGGAGGAGGCTACTGGTTGGCGTTGTCCTCCAGACAGGTAGAACGATCCTTGCTGCCGCTGTAATGACGCTGTCGATCTTCTGCACGAGCCCCTTCTGGCCTGTGTTGACGGGTCTTCCTTGGAAAGGCGGACTCGTGTCTGTCTCCGCTTGGCGTCTCGAAGCCGGCTTCGTGATACCTGCGTACCATGTTTCGGCGCCGAAGAGCGCGATCGGCAGTACGTAGGAGACGACGGCTTTTCGCACGGCGGCCGCTGGCAGTCCTCTCTTTGTGTTTGTAAGCTGCCTCAGGTGTTGAGCTGCCTTCTTTGCCGCAGCTACTCTTGTGTCGACGTGGTGCCGGAAGGACAGTCTCTTGTCGAACCAGACACCCAGCCAGCGTACAGGATTTGTCGAGGCCTTGACCACCAAATCCCCGCCCTGACCTCTGGCAGCTCCGCTGGCTGGCTGTGCTTCCTAGTAAAGTGGATGACCTCGCACTTGCTCGGGTCGAAGGAGACCTTGTTCTCCGAGCCCCATCTGAGAATGCCGGCTGCGCTTCGGTTGAGTATTGCGACGTTGCTCTCCAGGGAGGGGCTGATGGCCAGAGTGGCGATGTCGTCCGCGTACCCGAATCGCGCGTCCGGGTCGTCTTCAAGGATCTCCGCGATGTAGAGCAGAAAGACGATGGGAGATAGTGGCGACCCCTGAGGCAGCCCGCATGACAGAGGAAAGTATTCCGTCGTGCTTTCTTCCAGTCGGACTCTGGCGATGCGGTTGCAGCAGAAGCTGAAGATGAGTCTAATCAAGCCGTGTGGCCATCCCTGCTGACGCAGTCTAATGACGAGCCGGTTCCGAAGGACGGAGTCGAACGCCCCTTTTACGTCCATAGTCAGAAGCGTCGCCGTGAGCCCTTTTAGGAGGGCCGTTTCGATATCGTGGGCGAGGCAGGTCGTCAGATCGACGGCTGACCTGCCTTGTAGAGCTCCGATCTGTTGCGGACTGACGATGCGCTCGACAATCGCCAGAGAAGCCATCCTTCTGGCTATTAGTCTCTCGAGTCCTTTGCCCAAGCACGAGAGGAGCGCGATCGGCCGCCAGGACCCGGGCTTGGAGGCATCCCTGCCGGCCTTCTGGATCATGACCACCTCAGCTCTGCGGAAAGGCAGAGGAAAGTGGCCGGCCCGCATACAGGACTGGAATAGCTGCCTGACCGGCTCCGAGATGACGCCCCAGCAGGCCTGGAGGAGGCGCGTGGTGATCCCGTCCACACCAGGGGTCGTTGTCTTTGTTAAGGTGGCCGTCTTCACTTCTTCTCCGCTAACATTGTCCTGCCAAGTAATCGCTCGCCTTGGGACGACGGGTACGTCAAACGGATTACCCGGTGCGTCATCTTCCGCACTAAACCTGTCGAGAAGGGCTTCCCGAAGCGCTTGGGCCTTTTCGTCAGTATCCTCGATCGTCTGGTTGTCCACAACCAATGGGGGTGCTCTGGTCAGTGGGCTCGCCTTCCGCCAACCCATGATCTGGTACAGGTCCCGGTCTGAAGCGACTCCATCGATCTTTCCGGCCCAGTATGCTCGCTTAGCCTTCCTCACCGTGCTCAGGAACGCCTTTCGTTTCTCCATTAGATAAAGGTGCGCATCTTGCTCCGTCTCCCAGGCTTGTTGGTTGCGGGCAGCACGGTATGCTCTGTGGGCCTCTGCGCATTCCTCCGTCCACCAAGCCGCGCCTTTACCATGTTTTCCTCTCTTCTTGCCGACCGCCTCAATGGCTCGGGAGAAGAGCTCGACGATGTGACTTGCCTGCCCGTCCAGGTCTTCCGGAGTAGGTTGATCCCCCAGATTGGGCATCGCAGCTAGCCCCCCTTCGATCAGGTCTCTCAGCCGAGGCAGCGCCGAGTCGGGCACTGACAGTGGCCGTGGCTGCGGGTGGCCCTCTCCCTGTGACACTGGGCGTTTGAATAGTGGTATGACGGCCACGATGGCCTCGTGGTCAGCTCCCGGGTGTAGCTGTGGGCTGACCTGCGCGTGCGCAAAAGGGATATTAGAGAAAGCCAGGTCCAGGACATGTCCGCAATCCTGGGTTGCCACCCCAACTTCGCTGATAAGAGAGAGATTGTGGCCGTCTGCCCAGCCTGCAATGTCATCTCCCCGGTTCCCGTTCCTCGTCCCGGGCTCCCAAGAGTAGTGATGCGCGTTGAAGTCACCCGCGATCAAAGCTCGCTCCGGGGGTTTGAGTTCTAGCAGTATCCCTGTTGTGCGGCTGTGGGGGTCGCGGGGTTGTCTGTACACGTTGACGATAGTCGTCGTTTTGTCGACCACCAGCCACAGTACGTCTCTCGTGTGGACAGGCCTCTGCTGCTCCACCGTCATCCCTATCCCTTTGCGTGTGTAGGTCAATACTCTTGGTCTGGTTCCTTCGCTGTCCCAGAAGTCGACCGGGACGAAAGAGTCGAAACCCGGGTGCGTGTTCAGTTGCACGTTTCCGTCCTTCCAGCCCGTCCAGGGTTCCTGGACGAGGACCACATCTATCTGAGCCTCCCAGCAGAGCTGCAGGAAAGCCGTGTGCGCCGGGGAGATCTTTCCGACGTTGCCCTGCGCAACGCGTAGCATCCGTGGGGTCGCCGCTCTCGGCTTACGTCTCCGAGTCGAGTTCGAGGTGGGTGTAGGCATTCGCGACGTTGTAGTTTGGCTTCTGTGCTGCCCGTTGGCTCCTGCTTGGCATGGGTAGCACGGGACGGTCGATGGAGGTGTTGTCGGGGGAGTCTTCGCCTTCGCCTTCGTCCGCCTCGTCTTCATCCATGCTGCTGCTGTCAGTGCTTCCGTCACCGAGGCAAACGATCGAGCTTGCGGAGGGCGTTCTCGTGCGCGCGCGCTTGGCGCCGGGTTGCTGGTTCTGGCTGGTGGAGGTAGGGACGCCTGCCGCCTCCTGGCTACTGTCGGATCGAGTAGCCTTGTACAGAGTGTCCGATGCTTTCTGGCCGGCCTTCCGGATCCGAGCCCGCTCCTTTCGACCGGGAAGGGAGACGACGCCGTTTACGACCGAGGGCCTCGCTGGGCAGTCTGTGTGGCCGGCTTGGAAGGGGCCGCAGCAGTTGGGACACTGGGGCCTGGCCATGCAAGGTCCCGTTTCGTGTGAGTCGGAAGGTCTTCCGCAGTTGCTGCAAGTCGGTCGTCGTCCGCAGAACCGGTTGGCGTGGTAGCCCTGGCAGCCGGGGTCATGTCGGATGAGCGTCCTTCGTTTTTTGATGGGCAGAGATCTGCCGCTTTGGTTGAAGAGCCTGAAGGGCGTGACCTCTGATGTGAATGATATGAGCCAAGATATTTCGTTCGTGACTGGGTTGGGCCCAAGGCGGGACGGTCGAGCAAGGACAGGCTTCTGTCCTGTCTGTGCGAAGACCTCATCTTCAACGAGTGTGGCTGGGTCCAGGACGTCCCCGCCAATGCTGTGTAGTTTTGTTGGGCATCGCGGCACAACGTATGTGTGCCACTTGATAGGCGTCTCGACTTGGTGGGCGCCGAGGCATTCCGCCAGCTTTGCCTTACTTGTAAGTAGTCTTTCCTGTATTTGCTTGTTTCGCGGCTTCAGAGAGTAACCTGTGCTGATATGGTAGACGTGGGGAAGGTCCGCTAGCCCCAGGCCAACGGCCTTACAGACGATCTGTCGTACGGCGAACGGTGCGATCTTCCGAGCGGCCGCTAAGCTTTCTTCCGGGACGCGGGCAAAGATGCGGAGGTCCTCCTTCGGCTGCGCCTGCGGCTGATCCTCGGCGGGGAGTGTGGCCTTCGGGCGGGCAGAGCTCTGGCAGCTCTGGCCGCTCCGGGTCGCCGCAGTGGTGTTGCCCGCCATCGGTGCGACGACAGCCGCCCAACTCCGGGCCGCTATTGGGCTTGTCTCGTGATTGATCAGTCTCTTGAGGGTTTGAATGACATAGGCAGTGGCTTCTTTCGCGATCTGCTTTCTAGAACCGTCAAAGCTGGCGACAACGCTGTCGACGGACCGTGCAATGGTCAGAAAGACGTCTTTCCGTGCCTCGTACTGTCTAGCTTCTTCTGCAAGGGCTGTCAAGACGGACCCTGTGGCAGATCCGCTCGGAGCAGATGCGGTAGAGGCTGCGGGCCCCTCGGCCGAGGTAGGGGCGTCGGTGGTGGCATCAAGCTGGCTTCCCGTTAGGCTGGGCCGGGTCGGCTGTGCCTCGGCGTCGCGGCGTCGCTTAGCTCTTGAGGTGGGGTTCGGCTCCGGAGGTGTCCCGGAGCCTGGTTCGGGGTCGGCTTGGTCGGCCGACATCAGTCCGGTGCCCGACGGCGGCTGTGAGGCCATCGCGGATGCGGGCTCCGGCAAGGGGAGGTGAAGAGTTTTCGGCTGTTAGTAATTTGGTGGTAGGCTCACTCATTCACTAACAGCAGATGCCAAGAAAAATTAGGCGAGAGGGAAGTTGTCGGCATTATCATTGCCTCTCTAGTTGCGCCAGGAGCTGCCGCGCCACACTCTAGGCAAGAACAAGGCATCTCTGCTATCCCTGGCAGATGGATCGTCACTCTGAAGTCAGGCATTGGAAAACGCGACGTAGATCAGCACCTCGATTGGATCCATGATACTCACAGACAAAGCTTGTCTCTTCGTCAGACCACTGGGGTCGAAAAGGCATTTGAAATTGGGAATTTTCATGCCTATACTGGCGAATTTGACGAGGAACTGTTGGCCGAAATCGAAGCCAAAGATGAGGTGCGTTTGAACCGGACGTGACGAGATACTTGACGATGTCCTTGAAATTAACCTGGGTACGGGGCATTCCAGGTCGTTGCGATCGAGCCAGACCATGAAGCTTCATTGACAGCTCTCACCGAGGTCAGCGACCAACCCTGGGGTCTAGCCAGCCTGTCTTCGCGGACAAAACTCGCCAGCGTCGACGTGGATCATCAAACCTACATCTACGACACGAGTGCGGGAACGGGCACATTTGCTTATGTTCTCGACTCCGGTATTCGCATCTCCCATCCCGATTTCCAGGGACGCGCAATCAAAGGCACCAACGTCTTTCCCGAAGTTGCCCACGATGATGATTTTGGGCACGGCACGCACGTCGCTGGCACCATTGGGTCCTTGCGATTCGGCGTCGCAAAGAATGCGACTATTGTCGATGTGAAGACGACCAGAGTTGCTTACAGTACGACGGCCAAGATTATTGAGGCGTTGGAGTGGTCTGTACAGAATATCACCAACACTCCTGGGAGGGCTGGCAAGTCCGTCATCAGTATGAGCTTAGGTACGTCGTTGAATCTTGATTGGAACGCTCGCATTAGACCTGACCCAATACAAGCGACTGCTACGTCCACGGCTTTAAATGATGCCATCGACGCAGCGACAAACCTCGGCGTCTTCGTCGTCGTGGGTGCCGGGAACGACGGAAAGGATGCTTCCACGAGGTCACCAGCTAGCGCGCCGACTGCCTTCACCGTTGGTGCCATTGACATTAACAGCACTAGAGCTACATGGTCCAACTTTGGCCCTGCTGTGGATGTCTTTGCTGCTGGCGTAGATGTGAGATCGACTTCTTTGTACCAGGATGGCACCGAGCTTCTGTCGGGAACGTCAATGTCAACACCGCACATTTCCGGTTTGGCGCTGTATCTCAAGGGATTGGAGGGCTCTGCTGTGGATACACCGGCGGCGATCGGAGCTCGCATCAAGGAACTTGCTACTAAGGACATTGTTGCCGGTGCTGGAGTTGGGAGTCCTAATCTTGTTGCGTACAATGGGAATGGTCGACGATGAAGGGTTGAACGGTGTTAGCTGGAAAGACGTTTACCACAGACCGGAGTTGCCTCCGATTAAGGTGAGGGCACAGACCTAAAGCCGTCACCGAAGCTCACCTCGGTATGAGTAGTCAGCAAAATCTCTAGTGTCTTTTTTCCCACCGCCCATTAATAAACTCAGAACAGTTCCAGGCAGGATGGTCTAGACCTTTTCAAACACAAAGCAATTGGACGCAAGCGCCGGGCTTCTGCGGGCTTATCTGGGACACCAGCTGCGGCATGACGTCAAACTTCCCTGTCAAGTTGGAAAATCCAAGGCAGAAGACGCCTGGAATTCCGCTGCGATTCGACGCCAGTCCCAACAGAATCGACGGGCGTGACGGGCCAGCCGTCCATGGATTGATGGCATCCTACTAGCGTCGCGCCATTTTCCAGGTTAGGGGGAGGACTCGGAGAGACAGGGCCCTTTGTTGTCGCAGGAAGCGCATGTCGTTTTGTCTGGCGATGCGTTCGAGCTACCGTATGGAATGCTGCGATTCGACGATTTGATTTGCTCGCAGTCGCCGCGTCAACCTGCGTTTTGTGTTGCACGAGGAGCAGCTACCTAAGGTACGATGCGTCGTAAGATCCTGTTGGTGAATCAACCGGCAGGAGAGGACGGTGCGTGCATTCTGTAGCTCGGCGGTCGGCAATTGAGAACTTATATGAAATGGAAGTCACCTCTTCTTCTACCGCCTGACGTCTTGCCCTGATCTCTTCTCTCTTCTCTCTCTCTCTCTCTCTCTCTCTCTCCTCAATCCTTCGTCTTGCCAAAATTCCTGAAGGCCAATTCACCCTTGTTCTACCCCTCCTCGACCCCTCCAAACCCCTCCATTCACTCACCCGCAAGCCGTCAGCCGCAACGGCACAATCGCCCACCATGGGAGACCAGGAACCGACCCCCGAGAACCACACAATGATGCAGGGCTTCGAGTGGTATGTGCCTGCGGATCAGAAGCACTGGGTCCGCCTGGAGAAGCATGTACCCCAGCTCAAGCGGTTCGGTGTGGACAACATCTGGATCCCGCCAGCGTAAGACCACCTCAATTGAATCGCGACGAACAAGGCCAGCCCAATTGACTTCAGAATCTAGGTGCAAGGGTTCATCAAAGACTGGAAACGGCTACGACATCTACGATCTGTACGTATTGCGATCCATCTTCCTGCCGAGCCGGCGCATCTTGCTAACCATCCTGAAAGCTACGACTTGGGCGAATTTGACCAAAAGGGATCCGTAGCGACAAAATGGGGCACCAAAGAGGAGCTTCTGAAGCTGGCGCACACCGCCAAGGACAACGGCGTCGGCATCTACTGGGATGCCGTCCTCAACCACAAGTTCGCGGCCGACCGCAAGGAGAAGTGCCTCGCTGCCGAGGTCGACTCCAATGACCGCACAAAGTTCGTCAGCGACAAGTACGAGATCGACGCCTGGGTCGGCTATGATTTCCCCGGTCGCAAGGGCAAGTACAGCGAGCAGAAGTACCATTGGTACCACTTCAGTGGTGTCGACTATAATGCCAGGAACGAGAAGACGGCAATCTACAAGATCCTGGGTGACAAGGGCGACCAGCAATGGGCGGAGAGTGTCGACGACGAGAAGGGAAACTAGTAAGATCAGGCATCCATTGGATGGATCATAGACCATGCTAATGATGTGTAGCGACTTCCTGATGGGTTCTGATCTCGACTACGATCACCCCGAGGTTGTGAAAGACGTTCTCAATTGGGGCAAGTGGCTGGCCCAGGAAGTGCCGCTCCAGGGCATCCGTTTCGACGCCATCAAGCACTATAGTGAGGACTTTTTGCGTCAGTTCATCACCGAGCTGGATAAGGAGTATGGCAAAGGCTGGTTCTTTGTCGGCGAGTTCTGGAAGGACAGTCTCGACGACATGTCCGAGTACCTGCAGCGCATGGGCAGGCAGTTCACCTTGTTTGACGCGCCTTTGGTCTACAACTTTAGCGAGATCAGCAAGGGCAACGGCGCCGACATGAGGAAGGTCTTTGACGGCACTCTAGTGCAGAAGGAGCCCATCAACGCAGTGGTACGCACCATCCAATCCTATCACACTGAAGGGACTGTTCTAATCGCATCCAGACCTTGGTCATGAACCACGACACGCAACCCTACCAGGCCCTGGAGGCCCCGATCGAGGGCTGGTTCAAGCCCATCGCGTACGCCCTCATCCTCCTTCGCACCGACGGATACCCCTGCGTCTGGTACGGCGATATCTACGGCATCAAGGGCGAGCACCCCTTCCCGCCCTCGTGCGGCGGCGCGGTGCCCAAGATGACGCTGGCTAGAAAGCTCTACGCCTATGGCAAGCAAGCTGACTACTTTGACTACGCGACGTGCCTGGGCTGGGTCAAGTATGGTACCTGGGACCGTCCCTACGGCTGCGCCGTGGTGGCCAGCAACGCTGGACCGGGATCCAAGCGTATGCACGTGGGTGAGATGCATGCTGGCGAGGTCTGGACCGATGTTCTGGGCTGGAACGACAGGGAGGTTACTATTGGAGACGACGGCTTTGGCGAGTTCGTGTGTTCTGGTACCTCGGTGAGCATCTTTGTCAACAAGAATGCCGACGGCAGAGACAAATTCAACGAAGAATTGTGAGTACTTGTCACCTTATGATAGACACGAATGGGGACTAACCTTGGCAGTGACTCCAACATTTACGAGGAATAGAGTAGATATCATGGGACCAGGCAGGCGGAAGAATTGGAGTTTCTAGAATAGCTACCAAGTAGATGTAGATTTTATACTTCACGAGTATGTGCTTGATGGAAATACAACAAGTTTAATTACATGGTCACAATCAGGAACAACAGTCCTCTCCAGGTTTGCGCCTCCGGGCTCTTCAAGTGCTCTTGCGTTCATGACGGGTATGCCTGCCAACCCTTCAGTGTCTTCCGCGCCACAGCACTTGAGATACACACACTGGCAGATCTTAGCCACATATATCTATGCAGACAAAGCACATGCTCCCCATAGGTGACCGGACGAAGGTTCGCGGGGGGTCTGCGGGGAAGCACGCGGCCGAGAGGTGGGCTCGTAGCCCGGGACCGAAGACAAGCCTACTCGCCTCCTCAGTATCAGTACCTCAGATCTAGTAAGTCCGAGGGGGGGGGGGAATAGTCTAGGCCGACGGCGCAAAGAATGCAAGTATCACTAGGCCGTTTATTCTGCACGGGTTTTGTGTTGTCATTGTGCTTTCTATTCAATCCGTGATTCTTTAGAGTCTTGACCGGGCCGGACGGAGCTAATCCCCTGAGGACGGCGGGGCGGGGCCGGCCCGGTTGGACGGGACCCGCCCATCTCTCCAAGCACGCGAAATTGAGCTTATGCGTTTGCGGTAAGAAATTGGCATATTTTGCATGCGATTGTCTACCCAGTCCTGGGTGATTACATAACGGGTGTATTCCATGACAAAACATTGAAGATTGTATCTACAGACGAATCACTGACATACCTTAGCATTGAGACTTGTTCTTCAGCTTAGTACGGACTGTTACCACTGCTGACGCGTCGGCGAGAAGGGCAACATCACTGTGATTATTCTGGAGCATCGCACTTTTCGGACAGAGGGAACTGGTCTTGCTGGTAAAAGCCGAAAGTCGCAAAGTGCTCCCTGGACCCTGTGTCTCTTCAGCCTTGTTCCAGTATTGAGGATCCGTATATCGATTCCCTTTTGTCCGGCACATGATGTTGAAGAAAGCTTAAAAGCCGGGGTGTCTAGTTTTCGGCGACAAGAGGCATGACTTAGATACAGCTCTTGGTTGATATACTTGTGCATCCCCGAAAAGTCCACGACTCAATCCCCACGTTGTACACCATTCTGTGGTTCTTGACCACTCCACAGGTGTCTTATCGCCGATGGGAAACACGGCAGAGCGGTTCCGCACGTCACACACATCCCCGCCGTGGGGGCTTCAATTTCATGCTTCAGCCACTTCCTCCAAGGCTCCAACATCCATCCGAAATGCTCCATTCATCGATGCCCCCATTCCTAACATCCCCCACCCCCCCCCTTGGGCCGAATACAGTAAGTGAATGCGGAGTAGCTACAGCGAGCTTCGATTGGACTGGAAGCTCGCTCCGATCTGCTGTGCTACGCTGACTGCCACATCCACACAATCCACCCATCAACGACCCCTCCAATTCAAAGCTCCTATCGTTGGCCATCCAATGGCCGCCGGCGCAGTCGTACACCAGAGCTGGAGCAAATAGAAAAAGATGCTCTCTTCTCCTCCCCTTCGCATGCGCATAGCTCGCAATTCCCCTTCACTTGCCAAACCTCTTCTCTCGACGTCTTCATTTCCTTGTCGGTCTCGATTCTGTGATACCCCTCTGATCCGACAGCGCCACCTTAACCTTGACCATCACCATCACGCGAAAAGGACACGCCCAAGACAATCTGTAGCGCGTCACTTCTTCTCATCGACCCCTCACCATCGCCAACCAAACACTGTCAACGACATCGCCGCAATGTCCGATCTCTCTGTTGAGCTGACAGCCCCCAACGGTGTCAAGTACACCCAGCCCACCGGTCTCTTCATCAATAATGAGTTTGTCCAATCTGCCCAGGGCGAGCTCATTGACTCGATAGATCCTGCGTGAGTTGTTACCTAGCCCCTCATCCCCCATTCTCCCTGTGCATCACATGCGATTTCCTTCCAAGTTACCTTGAACGACGAAACTGACAACCCCACCTTGCCTACAGCACCGAAGAAAAGATTGCATCCGTCCAGGCCGCTGAAGTCGAGGACATTGACAAGGCCGTCAAGGCCGCACACGCCGCCCTGAGACATGAGTCCTGGAAGGGCATTTCGGCCACGGATCGTGGCGCCCTCATGTACAAGCTTGCCGATCTGATTGAGCAGCACAAGGAGACTCTTGCTACCATCGATGCATGGGACAACGGTATGCTCACAATTCATACAGTTCCAGGGCCAGATGGAAGAACTAACGCAAACCTACAGGCAAGACGTACGCCGATGCCCTCGAGATTGACCTCTCAGAGTGTGTCACCGTCATCCGCTACTACGCCGGCTGGGCCGACAAGACCTACGGCCAGACCATCACCAGCATTCCCCAAAAGTTTGCCTACACCCTTCGTCAGCCCATTGGCGTCGTCGCTCAAGTGTAAGCCACCCATATTAACCCACGAGAAGGAACCAAGACTAACTACAGCCCAGCATCCCCTGGAACTACCCCCTCAGCATGGCCACCTGGAAACTCGGCCCAGCCCTCGCCTGCGGCAACACAGTCGTCCTCAAGGCCGCAGAGCAGACCCCGCTGAGCATCCTCTACCTCGGCACCCTCATCAAGGAAGCCGGCTTCCCCCCGGGCGTCGTCAACTTTGTAAACGGCCTCGGCCGCGTCGCCGGCGGCGCCCTCGTCAGCCACCCTCTCGTCGACAAGGTCGCTTTCACGGGCAGCACGGCCACGGCCCGCGCCATCATGGGCGAGGCCGCCAAGACGCTCAAGAACATCACCCTCGAGACGGGCGGCAAGTCCCCGCTCCTCGTCTTTGGCGACGCCGACCTCGAGCAGGCCGTAAAGTGGTCCCACATGGGCATCATGTCCAACCAGGGCCAGATCTGCACCGCCACCTCCCGCATCCTGGTCCAGGAGGATATCTACGAGGAGTTCATCCCCAAGTTCCTCGAGACGCTCAAGGCGACCAGCAAGGTCGGGAGCCAGTGGGACAAGGACACCTACCAGGGACCCCAGGTGTCCAAGGTCCAGTTCGAGCGCGTGCTCGAGTACATCGACATTGGCAAGAACGAGGGCGCGACGCTCGCCGCGGGCGGAGAACCTCTCAACATTGGTGGCAAGGGTAAGGGCTTCTTCGTCGCGCCTACCGTCTTCACCAACGTCACGACGTCGATGCGCGTATGGGGCGAGGAAATTTTCGGGCCCGTTGTGGTGATTGCGCGCTTCAAGACCGAGGAGGAGGCTATTGCGTTGGCGAACAACAGCCAGTACGGGCTCGGCGCTGCCGTGTTCACGCAGAATGTCGAGCGTGCGCACCGTGTTGCTTCCGAGATTGAGGCGGGCATGGTGTGGGTTAACAGCACCCAGGACAGCGACCCGCGCGTTCCGTTTGGTGGTGTCAAGCAGAGTGGTATTGGAAGGGAGTTGGGCGAGGCTGGGTTGGAGGCGTATAGTCAGATTAAGGCCGTCCACGTCAACATGGGCACGAGGTTGTAAGCCGTTGATTTTGGGATCCAATTGTTTCGAGTAGGCTTCGTCAGGAAGATGAGATGACACAACGAACAACCTTCATGATCATGCTCTTGTTTCTCATACTTGATTGAATATCCTACGGGTGCAAAACCAAATCATAACGACCCGGCAGTAATGTCACCCTCTTCCCAGATGCACCCTCCACACCCGCGCCCCCCTCCCTGCTAATCTCAACCGTGCTCTCCTCCCTCGGCAACACCAAAGTCCCCTTCGTACTCGTCGGCACGATAACCCTCATCCTCACATCCTCACCCTCACGCTTGAAGGTAACCTCAATCAGCCCATACGGACACTCAAAGGTCCCCTCGACAAAATCAAACTCGGACTTTAAGGGCGGTTTCACACTCCACGCCTTATACCCGTCCTCCTCGACCCGAACACCCAACACAGCTTCATAGAACCACTCGTAAATCGTGCCCAGCATATCGTGGCACTTACTCCTACACGCGTCCTGCCAAAACTCGTTGAGCGTCGTCTCCCCGCGGCGGAGGAAGCGCATATACGAAGGATGCTCCTCCTGCCGCGCCATTGCCATCACGATATCCGGACGATCAACATCCGTAAAGGTGTTCCAGAGCCACTTGAGCCCGATCTCGCCTGCGCGGATCCGGCAGTCTGCCACGTCGTCCAGGAAGGCTAGTTGGACGTCCGCTACGTGCTCTTCCGGGACGAGGCCGAATTGCAGCGCCATGGCCTGCGCGATCATCGTACGGTCGTGGGTTCCGGGTTTGTCGAGAGAGGTGTAAAAAACGTAGGGATGTTCTGTCTTGGAGGTAACAAGGAGGTGGCGGTTGTACGTCTCGTAGATGCGGTCAGCCCACGCACGCCACTTTCTCTCGTCGTCTGCGTAGCCGAGTTCCTTGGCCATTAACTCGACGTTGCGAAGACATTTGTAGTAGATTGCTGTCTCGATGTTGGCCTGGTGATTCCCAAACGCGATATCGCGGCCCCAATCACCCAACCCGTGCTCAATCAGCCCTCCTTGCCGCTCCTTTGTCCGGAGATACTCCATATACCGCACACAAGGCTGATACAGCTTCCCAAAGGTATGCGTCGAGCCGTAATACTTCTTCAGAATCTCGGGGATCAGCGCGACCGCCCCGCCCCAGGTAATCGTATCGTGCAAAGGACCACACATGTACCGAATCTCAGGCGCCATTGTCGGCACGAGCCCGTCGGACTCCTGCGCGTCTGCAATATCGTCCAGGATCTTGGAGTGCAGGGCCTCAATGTCGCGGATGTACTGCGTCGCGGGCGCGAGGAGGTGCGTGACTTCCAGCCAGCCGAACTTCTCGATTTGCGGGCAGTCGGTGTGGTAGCTGAACAAGTTGCTGACAAAGGACCAGTAGCACATGTCGATGAGGGCGTTCGCGTCCGGTTTATCTGTCTTGAGGGTGCCCAGCCTCCGGGAGGCGGAGGAGATGTGCCTGCCAACAACGGAGTGGATGACAGGGAGACCTTCACCTGTCTGTGAGGAGACGCCTTCGATTTGGATATACCGCGCGCTGGTGAAGCTAAAGTCTGGCTCCCAGGTCTCGATGTCTCCTGTCCCAGCGAGCGTGACTTTGGAAAAGACTTTTGTCTCAAAGTCTTTGAAAAGGGGGTCGGGCATCAGTACGCGACCGGTCTCGTCGACGCTCTCGGAGAACTTGACAATGACTTGTGCACCGGCTGGGCCGCTGACCTGGACGCGAACCATGGTGGACATATTCTGTCCTAGGTCGAACGTCACGACGCCCTTCTCCAACGTCTTCTTCGAAACCGGCTCGACCGTCTCGTGGAGTGTGACCGGCGGCTGGCTCTGGTACCTCAGTTTGCCCCTCGGCCCCGTCACAGGCGTAGAGGCAATCCACTCCCCGTCATCGAAGCCCGGCTTATCCCACCCATCAGGATACTCCCGCAAATCCTTATCCTCGGACGCGTAAATATTCGCCAACGTGGTAGCGCTCTTCCTCGTCTTCCAATCCGGTCCCGAAATCACCGTCTCACGGCTCCCATCTTCATAAAACAGATGCAGCTCCGCAAAGAAGCATAACTCATTGCCGTACCTTACGTATGTGTTGTCCTCATACATGGGCCAAAAGAAGCGATCATCGCCGCCCTTATCGCCGGCGTAGAACCCGTTTCCCACGTGCGCGCCGACGACATTGTCGCCCTGCGTCAGCGCGTCGCTGAGGTCGTAGGCGACGAACTGTACCGTGCGGTGGTAGTTTGTCCAGCCCGGGTCGAGGATGTGCGTCGACGCGAGCGCGCCGTTGCAGGAGAGGTTGAAGTGGCCCAGACCGGAGGCGAAGGCGATGGCGCGGGAGGGTTTGCGGGAGAGGTGGAGGTGTTTGCGGAGGTAGAAGGGTTTGTCGCTGCTGTCGCCTACCCAGACTCCCTTCCAGCGGTTTGCTTCGTCTTCGAACCAGGTGCGGAAGATGAGGCTGGTATGGGGCATCTGTTTTCGTTCGCATTAGATTCGGGAACGTTCTTTCGTGATGTTCTTGGACGGCAACGTGTATTGGACGGACATACGTAGGTTTGATTCATGCTATACGGCGGCAACAACCTGCTCGACCGCGGGTACGCCGTGAAGAACTCGTTGACGCCGCTGTACGAAGCTTGTCCGTCCTGGTCCCAGACGGTCACTTTCCAGAGGTGGAATGACGCGGACTTGAAGCCGCCATCCGGCTTGCAGAGGATGTTTCTCTGGGCATTGCTCTCGACTTTGCCCGAGTCCCAGATGATTTCAGAGCTAGTAGAACCATCATCGAGTGCAGTTGCGTTCAAAGCAACGACGATGCGGTAGGCACTCTGGCAGGCATGTTCGAGCTCAGAGTGAAGCACCCAGTAGAAACGAATCTCATCGACGTCGATTCCCAGGGTCTCGTGAAAGGCATGGATGCCACAGCGTGTCACCTCCATTGTGGTAAGCCGCCGAGGGTGTGAAGGGACTAAGGCTCTAGGGTGTCCTCGCAGCTTCGGTTGGAAAGTAAGAGCAACCTCCTAGTAGCCCCGAGAAGTATTCGGTTCCCGGCAAGTCTTTAGAGAAGCGAGCTTCATGGGTCCATGTAACTTCTGTAATCTTAACTCTGTTTCGGGCATGGTCCGCATGCTGTGCCTCATGAACAGAAGGATTATGATCAGATAACTCGGGGTAGTAGAGTCAACAATGAGCCGAAATCACCGAAGTTCGGTGCGTTGTTCTCTCGAAAAGAGTGGCAACTCTGGAGCTGTGAAACAGACTCTTGTTGGATCCAGTATAGTCTATAGAGCACCCGGTGGGCTGGTACGGGGTACCGTGGACGTCTTTACGCCGAGTCTTTTGGCCAGGGGGCCAAGACCATGTGCCGGTGGAGACCCGGCCTTCGGTACTTGGAATTTGAGTATTGGCACCGAGATGTCGCCGGGGTGGGGTAAAGGCATTGTCGTCGAATCACAAGTCCTGGTACGTTTGTGTTGGTGTCGATTCAATGGTCCCCCGCTCGGAATTACCGACTGTGAAACGGCTCTTTATACCGGGTTTCCCGAGCGAGGCACACATTTATTTGGGGTTAAGCCAGCAAAGAACTCTACACAGAGTCCTGGACGTGTCGCCGCGTTGCTGTTCTTCGTATCCGTCTCCGACAGAGATTTCGGTCCCTAGTAGTTCGTACTTTGAGCGAATTCATCGACTCCAATGTCGAACATACAAACTTGACATGAAAGTCCTCCATGAGGAACCCCCACCGTGCCGGCTCCGGACTAGGATCTCCACTTACCGGGCCGCTTTGAGCCTCGAACATTCAACGGCCTCGTTTGAGTATGTGTATCCGCAGTAGTTATCAGCGACCGCGGTGCAAAGCATGCCTAGTGGCTGCCCAAAAGAACCAACACTGAACACGCCACCAACCACCCTCGGTGATGTCGGGTTAAAGATGCAGCTTTGTCTGGGGTTTGCTGGGTTCGTGCGGAGGCCCCAGATTCCAAAGACCGCACATTCAGGGGGGGATCGGCTAGGCTCAGCACCGTTCAGATACTGCCAAGACCCACTGGATGACACCTCGATCTCGTCGATTGGATGAACTGGGACACTTGCCGGTGGGAGTCGAAAGCTGACAAGCCCGTTGCTGGATGTTGGTCATCTCATTGAGCTCAAGCTGTATTTTAACCTTAATATTTCTCTTGGGTTTCCACTCCCAAGGACGACGTCCGTTCTTGATTCTTCGTTTATCTACCACTGACAGCTGTGACTGTTCACAACATACGACAATCATGGGTCGCCTTACGACGGTGTTATCCGCCGTCTTCCTGGCCATCGGAGGCTTCCTCTTTGGCTATGACTCCGGTATCATCACCTCGACGATCGCTCTAGATTCGTTTGGAAAGTATTTCCGCCACCCATCAGATACCGTCGCCGGCGGCATCGTGTCAGCCTTCCAAGGCGGTGCCATCTTCGGCACCATCATCAACATGCTCTTCGCCAACAAGATCGGTCGGCGTAACACCATCTTTGTCGGATCCGTGATTTCGTGTCTCGGCTCGGCTCTCCAGGCAGGCGCCGTTAACATGGTCATGCTGATCATAGGCCGCTTCATTGGCGGTGCCGCCGTCGGCATGGTTACCTCGACGATTCCAATGTACGCCTCTGAGCTGTCGGAGGCAAAGTACCGTGGTATCCTGTCCGGCTTGTTGCAGTGGATGTTGAGTTGGGGATTCTTGATCGCCCAGTGGCTTGGATATGGATGCTCCTTTGTCAAGAGCGACTTCTCTTGTAAGCCTCTTTTTCATTGTCCTAGTATCTGTGTACCCACTCAGAGTCAGTGTAAGACGAATCGTTTTGTAAACTGACAACGGGATAGGGCGTTTCCCTCTCGCCTTCCAGGCTGTCCCCGGTGTTATCCTCGTTACCGGCATCTACTTCCTCCAGGAATCTCCCCGTTGGCTGATGGAGCGAGATCGACACGAAGATGCCCGTCGATCACTCGGCAAACTCCGAAGCGGCCTCGACGAAGAAACCATCGATCTTGAGTTTCGCGAGATTCGCGACGTCATCCTGGCTGACCGCGCTCTCGGTAACATTTCGTGGAAGTCCATCATCACAAAGCCTTCGTGGCGCAAGCGTCTCTTGTTGGGCTGTGGTGTACAGGCCTTTGGTCCCCTCTCTGGTAAGCATACAATCTGTCGTAAGAAGAAAGATGTCAAAGCATAGGACTAACACCGAATGCCAACAGGTATCAATGTGATCAACTACTACGGACCTCGCATCTACAAGATCCTCGGCATCGATACCCAAACTTCCCTGATGATCATCGGCATCAGCGGTGCTCTTTCAATCGTCTACTGTAGCATTGGCCTGTGGCTCCTCGACCGCGTCGGCAGAGTCAAGCCCCTCATTGTCTCTGCAGCTGGTCTCGGCGCCGCCCTCCTTGTCAACGCGGTACAGGCCCAATATCTCAACGAGAACAACGCCAACCAGTTACGCAGTATGGTCGCCATGAACTTCGTCTTCAGCATGTTCTATACCCCGTTGGGCATCATTAGTTGGGTTTACCCCGCCGAAATCTTCCCCGTCGAAGTCAGAGCGCTCGGAAACGCCATCACCACCTTCACCAACTGGACTGTCAACCTCATCTTTGCCCAGATCTCCCCAGAGGCATTGACAAATATTGGATTCCGCTACTTCTACGTCTTTTTCGTTTTTAACCTCATCGCCATGATTTGCTACATCTTCTTCTTCCCGGAGACTAAGGGTAGGACGCTTGAGCAGATGGATGAGCTCTTTGGAGACCAGTTGGTGCCTCATGCCATGCAGGACTCTGTTGGTGCCGCTGCTGCTGTCGCCAAGGACGAGAAGCTTGTGGAGCAGCTTGATCACGTCTGAACATGCTTTTCGACGACAATGTGAGCTTTAGAGTGATCGTGATGTTTTGAGGGTCGCAAATTGATTGCATGGGAATTGGTTAGCGAGGGGTTGGCGCATGAGAAACGTGCAGACTGTCGCTTACGTAGCTAGGGCATGAATATTCTCATATTAGTAAGAGAATTCTCAGTGGCACAAACTGTTGATCGCATAGGTACTCATCGCAGACTATATTCGCTTGACACAAGTTAAGTGCCGAAGTGACAGAGCATGGCATCAATCCAAGTCGAAACACTCGCATCCATCTAGACCGAATGACATGTTAGCCATCCAGAATTAGTATTTGTAACTTTGTCATACGTAGGCCAACGCCCAAGCATTAGTAGCCTCGACCACATTGTTCGCCAATCTAGGCTTAGTGACATGTTGTGTCGATCAAGCTGACAGGATTCTTAGAGTCCGTTTGCAGGCCATGCCCGACTAGGCAAACAAACTGGTTTGAACATCAGTCAGCAGGTGGAACCATGAATTGTCAGAATCAACACCCATTTCCTCAAAGGCAGACGCGACATGGCTATAAAAGCCTTGGAGACCGGTGAACAGTCCTTTTGGTTCTGCTTGATCTATTGACGCCTCAATTGCTGAGTTGTACGTTAAGCCGATTCAGTTGAGATCACCTCAGTTCCACAATCCCCTTGCAATAGTATCACAATGGTCGGTTCTAAAGACCTCCCACCATCAACTCTGTCCTTTGGACGTGTCTTTTACAACAATCAATTCTGCGCCAAGCCACAATGGCCTGCCCCGAGCACTAGTCTTTCCGGAGAAACCGCAATCATCACGGGCGGAAACACTGGCCTAGGCTATGAAGCAGCCATTCAACTGCTGGATCTCGAGTTATCCCGCTTGATCCTAGCTGTACGCTCACTCGAGCGAGGCGAAGAAGCCGCGGCAAAGCTTCGTCGCAGATATCCCACTGCAACAATCAGCGTACAACTCCTCGACATGACGTCTTACGAGTCTGTCCAGGATTTTGTGCGCCGCATTGATACCGACTTCGGTCGCATCGACATCGCTCTTCTCAATGCCGGCGTGATACGGATGGACTATACCAAGGTCCCCAGCACTGGCCACGAAGAGACTATTCAAGTCAACTACCTGTCAACTATGCTTCTCGCCATACTCCTCCTTCCCGTTCTAAAGGCTAAAAGACAGAAGAACAGCGACCCGGCGCGTCTTACAATCGTCAGCGCCGCTTTAACATTGGCCGCCACGTTTCCCAACAGAGATGCAGACCCTCTCCTCCCGTCCTTTGATGATGCTGAGGTCTTTGCCGCCCACAGCCGGGAGGCCTACAATACGTCGAAGCTACTTGCTCACATGTTTCTCTGGAAGCTGGTCGACTATGTTTCGGCAGACGATGTCATTGTCAACCTTGCAGATCCGGCGTGGTGCAAAGGCACAAACCTAGCCCGAGATGCACAGGGCATCATGAAGTTGGGAGTCGCGGTATTTGGAGCAGCGACTGGACGAACGCCACGAGTAGGTGCCTCTTGCTTTGTTGATGCCATTGTCAACAAAGGCAAAGAGTCTCATGGATGCTTCTTAATGAGCTGGAAGATTCATCCGTATGTTTTCTCTCGATTATGCGTTCTCTCGTTGCACTGCTGACAACTTACAGGTTTGCCGCGTTTCTCTATACCTCTGAGGGTAGCGCTGTTATAGATCGTCTTTGGAACGAGACACTAGAAGAGCTGGACTTTGCGGGCGTTAGATCCGTCTTGAAAGCATTGTAGATCGTACTTGGGCTCCTTTTACTTCTTCCGGAAACTTCATTGTCGCGTGTCATTGTGAGTGAGCTTTCAGGAGGCGCTTGAGTGGGCAACTTACTCGAGTGTAAGAAGTTGCCAGCCTGCCTGCCTGCATGTACGTTGCTGTCCCACAGTCTAGACCCGGGCTTCTTTTGGCCAGTCTTTACCATTTTTACCTTGTTTCTTCGTAGCAGACTTCTGTTATTCGCATGCGCATCAGAAATGTAATTCATATCGCTAATAGAACACCGAGACAATGAAACTCAAATTCAACTTGATTGCTGTGCGTTAAGGTTGGGTGCTTCCAAGTCTTATCTTATGAGTTGGAGCTTATCTATATTACAACCAAGATACCGAGACTTGAAGTGATCGCAGTCGCCGGTCCTCCTGCAGACATAAAAGAGGGTTCAGAGTGAAGTTATTGTACTGTTCATGATGCCCACTTATTCCTTCCGGAATGTATATTCCGCTCGGCAGAGGTAGTTCGTGCCATAAGAGCCTGAATGACTTTTGCGGGGTGAGATAAGCCTGTTCGATGGAACAACAAAAAATAATTCCGACAGCTGGGTCACAAAGCCGGAATCGGACTTTGTCGAAAAATTGACAAATCATGGAGGACTTTGATCTTCTTTCCATGCCAAGCAGGAGGGCAAATGCTCCCATTCCGAGGCGCGGGGTCTTAGCGAATTAGGCGGGGAAAGACACTGGCCTGATAAAATGCATGTCTTATCAGTGGATATACCTTCACGCCGTCATTTGGCAACGAAGGAGCTTCATGCAAGCTTTAGGTCGACTTTGATATGCTCTTAGGCATTGTCACGGAGGACAGTGATATACATCAAGTATGCGGTATTTATATCCTGAAGGTGTCGCGTTCCTCTCACCACGGATACTCCCAAGTTTCCTGGGTAACTCGTCGCAGTGCATCTCAGAGTTCTACATGCTGGATATCCTTCCGATGGCGGCTCGAGCTCTTCATTTTGTCTGCCTCGCGGGCATTGCCACCGCTCTCGTCGAAAGGAGTCCCCTGACTTTGATCCTCACCATTAATGGCTTGGATCAAGTCTTTCAACTCGGTAACAAGAGCTACTTGGCAACGCCCTCCTCGCCACTCGCTCTCGCAGCCGCAAAACCCAAAGCAACCAACGCTCCGGCAACTCACATCGTTGCAACTTCTCCTGTCATCACTGGGCAGTACCTCCAAGATAGGATTGCTCGCTACCTGGCCGAAGATGACGTATTCTCGGAGGACTTCCTTGAGACAATCATCCTGAGCTCCAATTGCTCTTCAAGACTTGACGATGCTGCCACAGCCTTCGTGGCATCTATTGGGTCGCAAGTTTTCATGCTACCAGCTTCTTCCCAACTTGAGTCGCCCTTGCCGCCTCCCGGACCATTGTTTCTGGAGTCTGATGGCAGGACAGTCACGTTCTCAACGGTCTCCCGCCTCTACACGGATACCTATAGTGACTTTGTCCACGGAATCTACGAATCCAACGGAACTTACAAGGTCCTTGGCCTGACTGACGCTGATTGGGGTTATCCGTTGATCCCCGTCCCGTCCCGCCTCTACAGTGAAGCCGACTCTCGGCCTCTAGCTGGAAAAAGAATTGGCGTCAAGGACATCTACGACATCAAGGGACTCAAGTCCACTCTAGGAAGCAAAGCATGGACACAGATGACCGCCGAGGCCAACGCAACCGCTCCTTCTATTCAGCGCATCATTGACATCGGCGGAACTGTCGTGGGAAAGCAGAAAACATCCCAATTCGCGTCCGCGGCTCACGCATGGGAGTGGACCGACGTATACTACCCTCAGAACCCCCGCGGTGATGGATACCTCAGTTGTTCAGCGTCTTCTGCTGGCGGTGGTTGCTCCATTGCCGCATACGACTGGCTCGACTTTGCCATCGGGTCGGACACTGGCCAGTCTATGCGTCAACCGGCAGCGTTCTCGGGTACGTTTGGAAACCGCCCGTCGCAAGGCCTCATGGTGCTGGATGGAGTGATGCCTATTTCCTACGGTGCCGACACGGGCGGTGTGTTTGCACGTGATCCCCAGGACTGGGTGAAGTTCTCTAAGCTTTGGTATGAGCCTTCGCTTCACCAAGACAGTAGCCTCAATGGGCTACCCGAGCTTGAGGTCCCCGATTCTCGTGCGTTTCCGAAGCGGATCTTGTATCCCACCGACCACCTTCCGCTGCAGAACCCCGCCGCTGAAGAAGTCCTGCAGAGCTTCTTGGCTCAAGTCAATAAGATCATGAACTTGACGGTCACGAAAGTCAACATCACGGAAACAGTCGAGAGCGTCACTGGTCGAGATCTTGACAGAATCCTAGCTGATCTGAGTACCATCTGGACCTACTCACAGCTCAAAGTTGTGGCAACCCCTCTGATTGCACACTACAGCCCAAATTTCCCTTCTTTGGATAGACCGTACCGAACTTCTTTCCGGAATTTCTCCCTAGACGCCAAAGGCCACACCGAAGCGCTTGACCGTAGACGCCAAGACTCCGATGCCTGGCATCGTGAGGTCTTGTTCAACACCACCGAGAGCTGCTCCGAATCCATCATGATCTACGACATCGGTACGGGTGGACTTCCCTCCTTCAGAGAGGCTGAGTTGAATAAGTCCCCCGGCGCTGCCTTGCCTGCCGGTACTGGAACTCGAGGGGCTGCTTCCACCCTTGCGTCTTACTTCGGAAGCGCAGACTTCACCATCCCAATTGGCCAGGTGCCCTACTACAGCAACATCACTTACCGAGAAGAAATGATGCCTGTGACTATCAACATGGTGGCCAGGAGGGGGTGCGACTTTGTCTTGTTTAATCTTGTCGAAGAGTTGACGAAGCTGGGAGTCTTGGGGCCTGTCACTACTGGTTCGCGTACCTTTGTATGATACAGGTGTCGTTTGATTTCCACCATGGGACTAAACCGAGGTCCTTCCTGTCAATACCTCTTCTTCCACTTTCCCAATAGACAACGCCCGCGAAACACAAAGAATCATCTCGAACTATTCCACCATCTTCTTCAAGTAGTTCACGGGTCCAGCCCAGTTCAATGCCAATTATAGTCATCAGGGTAGGCACCAGGCAGATTCTGATGCGAACCCTCGGCGTAGGAGTAGCCAATCATGGGCTGGAGATCAGAGCCAGGCACTTCGACAAGTCCGAGAACAATCGAGGCCTGTCTCTTCTCCCAGCACGCCACCAAAGTCTTCTTCTCCTGCGCCTTCATCCACTGGCACTTTTTACGGCCCTCTTTGAACTTTTGTTTCTCGTGGTTGAGAAGCCAGGCCTCGGTATTCTTGGTCAAGGGAGTCTTAAGCGTCTTGACGCTCACAATGTCGTAGAGTTCGCTTGTGTGGTCTTGGGTTGGGGGAAGTCCAGCTTCCATGCCAGTCTCTTGCGGGAGAACTGAGCTCGGCGACGGCATTTGCTTTGACGACTGCAATCCATAGAATGCCATATCAGCTTCAATGTCGACGCCCTGGTATTGATGTGTTAGCATGTAGACTTGGGCGAATTGGAGAAAACATTGTGATTTACCTGTTCAAGTCCCTGGGCTGCGGGCCAGTCAAAGAAGGAAGGAACGGTTGGAGATGTCAAGTCGATTGGATCATGCTGGGTTTTGATCAGTGCATCAGGAGCAAACGTCTGAAATGGTTCCGTTAGCAAATGTTGAAGACTAAGGTATCTTTCCAGTTATGGGACTTGCCTCTCTCCTAAGCTCTGTAATAGAATTGAAGCCAAGCAATGTGCTCGCAGTAGCGACGCCACGCATGGGGCTGGATCCAGTTGCCTGCCCAAGACCAACCGCTGTTGCCAATGGATGAGAAGAACGGGTCGGCTGGTGTTCGCTCAAGCCATGGTGAGGACACTGCGCCATGCCGCCCTGTGGAAGTTGCTGCTGTTGAAGCTGCTCCTGGTCGTCCTCAGCCTTAGTCTCAGCCTGTTCTTTGCGAAGCTTGTGTCGAGCCGATGACTCTCTTCTCTTCCTGCGACATGGCTCGCATTGGCTTCGCTCCTTTGTCAGACCCATATTGGTCATGGAAGAGAACTCCGACTGCGGCTTGGGCTTGTGGCACTTGGTACACAACTTCTGGCTTGAAGATGCTTCACCAACACCTGAGGCCGAGGGTGTGCCATTCTCGTTCAGAACGGGCGGTGTAGGTGGTAGAAGGAGCGATGCCGGCAAAGGAGGCAAGGCACTACAACCCGGCGCAATCGGGGGAGCGAACAGGGGATTCTCTGCTGTGGGAGCTGAGGAACCTGGCATTGTTGGAATCAGTCTAACGGGTACGCCAGGGTTGATGGCGGAGATGGGGGCTCTCTGAGTTGAAGAGCTTCTTCGAGAGGAAGAGTTCTTTGAGGGTTTTCGTGAAAGCCGTCTCTGTGCGGGCGTCTGTGTTCTGGAAGGAACGTCCAAGGCGTTGTTCTCGATTCCAAGCACCTGATGATGCAAGTGAGGGACTTGTGAATTCGAGATTGTGCTCTGCGCCTGCGCAGAAGCACCGTTGGCGTTCAGGAGGTGAGTTGCGCTCATTCCGGGCAAGCAGAGGGGAAGCGGATCTCTGACAGCGAAGTGAGGCTCCAACGTTGCTGAAGTTGGAGGAGAGCCGAAGAGCGACTCATCGTCGAAGTCCATGACTTGTTGATTGAAGGAGGAGAGATTGGGGGTTGAGATTCAGAGACTCACGATCGATTGTGTGAAGTGACTGTGTTGGTGGGAAAGGAAAGGTCGCGATATAAGAGCAGGAACGAAGAAGAATGGGTTGAAGGAGAAGGTTGAGAATATTTCCACAGGAAGAAAGGAGCGACCGTGAACTATCTAGAAAGGAAGTGAGGCAGAAGCCCTAGACCAAGGTTAAGTGAAAAGGCGCGATTTCATTTGGAGTTGCTCGCTTAATCAAGACGTCAATCATGTTCACTTCGCTCCTTCCATCAAATCTGAGGAATACTCGGGCGTTCCAGCCAGTCAGGGAATACACGAGTATCCAGGTGCGAATAGGTTTGAGAACAAAGATCTTAGTATCAAACCCCTGCTTGATACGATTACATCGACTTCGTCAAAGACACTTGTTGATCCTTATTGTTGAATTGTGAGCTCCTTGTCTCAAGTCAAAGCTCAAATGAAGCCTTTGCTTGCTTTCATTTGGCAACAACTAGAAACATTCTAGCTACAGAGCAACTGCATTCAGAATACATATGAAACAGGGAATTGCATGCCTGGAAGAGTCCGAGTATAAAATCGAAGAACTCCGTATTCATCTTGGTCAAGTAGAAACATCCATACTGTTTAAGAAACTCATGTCACACCAGTCACTTGAGGGATAGAGCATATAAAGTAAGTATTTACAGTCGTAGCGGACAGACTGAGAGCACTATCTGATATCTTAGCTCTCAGTTCAACTCTGTCCTTTCTGACTCCCACAAGTTTTTGTCAGGGGATGGGCAAGGGCGACTCGGGCGACTCGAGGGCGAGGACATCAACTGACGATACAAGGTGTTGTATCAGAGCTTTAAGTAACGACGTCTTGTCCCCTACTCTATGTAACCTTATCTCAAAACTGCCCACCTTATTCAACACGTACCTACTCACTACCTAAGTAGTTGCTTGTTAGTCGTCCGTTCTCGTGAGTTTCTAGGAGCAATGAGAATACCAAGCATACGGTCATACCCATGTCCATTTTGCTAACGCCCTACTTTCTCCCACTGGATGGCAGACAAAACAATGAAGCTCACATCAAGTGGGTGTTATACATACATAAATAAGTATGTTCATCTTCGGCCACTTGGGAGTCTGAATCCTAAGAGGGGAAGGCCACTTCCCAAGGTACATGTCTCCGACTTGTTCTCCCACTTTGCGATAAGATGCCTTCCCAACATGATTGCATCTTTGAGGTCAACTAAATTAGCAAGATATCAGCCAAGGAAATGACAGAGAATAGTTCCTGTTCTGGAATCATTCTCAAGCAACGATTGGTGTGTATTCGGCAGGATACTTCAATCTTCTACGAACTTTACACGGAATTCAGTGTTGGTCAAATGTCTACTTTCAGTACGCTGTAGCCCTCAATCACAATTGAATTCAAGTTAGTAGAAACTCGTGTTTCCAGCATTAAGTTGGCATACAGAAATGACCAGGTTTCGAATTCGGTCCAGCAAGATGTTTCAATTTCGCCATATTCAGGTTTCTATTGTACGGCCACAGGCTGATAGGATTCTGTCTTGAGCCCTTTAGGCGCAAGCGTGCATATGGCAGTGGTAGACTCTGGCGGGCCAACCCACAGGAATGCTGATGTTTGCGGAAAGTCGCTGGCTGAAGCCCTCTCAATTGAACGATGATTCATGCCGTTTACCATCACTCGGTCCTTTCCGTGCACCATTCGAATGTTATGGTCAGCGCTTCATGATGTCACCATTCTTTCACTGGCGCAGAAACGTCATTCTGGCTAACCACATGCTGTGCGCCAAAGATGACGCGCACAACGATTCAAAGTGTATAAGATCTCACCCAAAGAACCTCAAAATGAGATCCATCATCACAATCACTAAGTAAATCATGAACAGAATCGCCCTCAGACCTACCAAGCTTTTCGCTGCATCAGTACCCAGAGTCAGAGCCATGTCGTCTCAGAACCCCATCCACAACACCGCCGAGGCCGCCGGCCAAAAGAAGGACACCAGCCCATCCAAGCCTAGCGTCATCTCCTCAGAGGGCGCCATTGGCAAGCAATTCAACCCTGATGGTAACATCGGCCAAATTGGTAAGTGATGTGCTCTACACCTCTATCGCATAACCTCGATCCTGATTTCTCCTTCACAGGCGAAGCAGTTGGCGGCCCTTTCTCAAAGGATGGTGTCATTGGAAGTCAGTTTGATGCAAGCAAGGGAGGCATCGCAGGCACGGTGGAAAAAGCCGTGGACGGTCCCCGAAACCCGGCGAAGAAATAGCTTCAGAATCGGGTAGCTGATTGAGATATTTCTCTCGGCGTGTAGCAATACAAGTTTCTAACCTCAATTCATCCCAATATCAAGCTCCATCATACGTAGTTGAAATAGGGCTACTAAGTACCTTTTCGAAGCTGACAGTTAGTACGCTGCTATTCGGGATCTCATTTGAAGGAGGATCTCACCAAGCGCCTAATTTCTTTTCGTCACTTGCATACTCTATGTGGAACAGCAGTGCAAACAGATTGTATGGCACAACCTATTTTTCTGACCGTCTTGGCCATGTTTCTGCGTCATCAGCATTCAGGTGTGAATCAACTCCTAGCAAACAATGACAAAGTTGCCATCATCAGATGCATTTAGATGCCTTGCGGTTGCTAAACACGCGCCCCGGCGGACACCCTATAGTATCTTGGCTTTGGCTCTCTTGTTCTTGCGTAGTTGTGGGCTGCCTGATCAACACGACCGCGTTACGCGGGGGACGGCGTGATTCGGGCGCAGGTTCAAGACATGCATTGACCCCAGGCAAGGCAAATCTAGTTTTTGTCGCAATCTTGTTGATGAGATTGGAGGACAACACTGAAAAATGTCTCAAGCACCACGCCGTGTCGAGGCATGCTAATCAGTTGTCTGCACGGAGACTATTATCTCAGCCACCACAATTTGAGTCTGTTGAAGTCCCCCAAATGTATTAAATAGTGCGGTCTTTCTGATTCGATACCTTTTTTTTAACCTCATGTCCTCACCTTTCTCACAATCTCTTTATTCTATTGTCCCTTTCTTCGTATCTTTCAACTTCGAATCGCTGCAGACGGCCTAACAGTCCGATAGTTGCCGCTAAGTACCATCGCGATGCAGGCCTATCAGGACGACCGGCTGGATAGGGCCGAGCAAATCGCTGGCTATGGGTTCAGTGCTCGCAGCCTGCTTCGGGAGGCTTTACAGACCCCAGGACCTGGAGTCCTAACTGCCGGTGATCGTTCCATCATCGACGGCAACAAAACGTTGGCTCTCTTGGGGGACAGAGTTCTCGGGACTCTGCTTGTGGAAGCGATGGTGATTGAGAATCTCGAAGCCAGGGGTGAGTTCATATTCGACAACGAAATCTCTGCAGTATCTTTCCCATTCAAGAGGCTAACATGGACGATGCTAGGTGCCATCGACGCCCAGCTCCAGCGTGCTGTAAATAATGTGCGACTCGCGGAAATTTTTGACACGTTCGATTTCCTGGAGTGTCTCAACCTAAATCCATCACAGGGTCGGGCCATCGGTGCTCGGACGAAGGCTGACACTATCGAGGCCATTATCGGTGCTGCGTACTTGGATGGCGGACTCGATGCTGCGAGACTTGTGGCAACGCGTCTCGGAATTCTTTGATACCGGTAATGTCAAAAACCTCCTATGCCCTTGAGCTAACGATCAGTAGCCTGCCCAGACCAAGAGGAAACCTGGAAACCCCGCATTGGGGCACCGAGGGATCCAAACGGAGATCCCCTGGGAACATTGCGTTTGCGCGTCTCTTGTCTTCGCGGCAGATCCAGCGAAGAACATCGAAGCAGACTGGGGTCAGCTTGGGTGTTGTAATCTTCTCTCAAGATCTGCTGCCAAGAGAACCGACCGCCGTGTTCCTAGGGGATTCCGTATGGGGCCCTTGGTGCCCTGATGCGGGTGTTCCGGGCTTCCTCTTGGCCAGGGGCCTTATTGCGGAGTGAGCGGGTACCCCAGGTCACTCACTCGCGTAGTTTGCGGTTATAGACCGTGATGAGTTCGACAGTATGTGTGGATGAAGAGACTTGTAGTCTAACTCGCTTTTCAGCTCATCTGGCGATGGAGAAGATCGCGATTCGGCATAGGGAGGTAACGACAGGAAGAAGGAATACATACATGCAAGGATTGGAGGACAGAAGGGCAATGGGTATAATGAGCTCTGGCTTGGATCACTCTTTTGAAGGAATGCTTTGTTCGGGGCTATCGGTTCGATATACGTTGACTCCCCATTTTCTGGAATTTGCACTTTACACCATCCCCCTTCTCCCACTCCTGAGCTGGAGTCAACACTCATTTGACGACATCACGATCTCACCAACACTCAAGCTCTCAATACACCACTTCAATTCTATATCTCGCCGTTCCAGTTGTGAAATGCAGCCATGAGATCGCCGGCTCAACATCTAGGATATCTCCAAACCATATTTTCACCTGACCAGTATCAAAGGCTTGCGACCCTGAAGTGGCGATGCCGTCAAGTCAACTTGTAATACTCGTATTGATACTGCTGTTCACCTTGCATCTGATCCTTCAGCAAACTCTGAGTTAAGGATGTGGCCCGCCAAGGTCGCATGTTAAACTAATCTAATTGACCAAAACCTTGAATATCAAACTCAATCCTGGGACCAGCAAGATCGCGAAACCGAGCTATGAATGATTCTCCAACTGGATTGCGAGCATAGTCTTGGTAGTGCAGAAACAATTTAGGCATTCGAGACATACAACACCTCCCAACAAGATAGCCCAACTTCAAATTCGCCGCGTAGGCTTCCACTAAAGGTGAAGAACAGGATTATGTGAAACAAAAGTACGTGGACATCACACTGCCCAAGGCGGAATAGGTGCCGATCAACAAGGCGCCACATCCTGCAGCTCCCAGGCACGTCGAAGCCTCCCATCCCCTACCGAAACCCAGGATTCGATTGGGCCTTGAACAAGAGTAGAATAAGTTGCACAACGGCATCTTATCGGAGAAGACAAGGCTAGTTAATTGCCAAAGACACCTCAAGTCTGCCCCCCCCCCTCCTACACCAAATCTCCACCATCACCCAAATCTCACCCCAATTACTCGCGGAGATGCGGGGCGAAAGCGGGCACAGGACGGAGCACCACACGGGACTCGGGGCCGGTAGGGCTTGGTGGTCGATGGGTGTCGCACGCCCCGCTGGACGTACGTCGGCCGGATCCTTCCAGCCTGCATGCTATTGTCTTGGCCTCGCTCCTCGGTGGAGTTTCTCCACCTCTGTCTACGACCACCTTACACCGTACCGGGTAGCATTGCCATGGCCCATCTCACTCGCATATTATTAGATGCCAGAGTATGGAGTTCCCTAGTTAAGACAAAGCAAGTCACTCGCGGTTTCTTGGAACCTGGAGGACAAGAAGGTACTAGAAGTAGCCAGGTAAAGTTCAAGCCCAAGTTGAGCCGAATGGCGGGAGCAAAGGACAGGATGCCAACCCCGCGGCATCAACGGCACACAACGCTAGTACTCTGTACTAGTTGACCGAAATGTCTTGACATACGTCGCTCTCGGATCCTGCGCCATCAACTCGTGGCACCATTTGCACTGTACCTGTCCCGCCAGTCCTGCCTGTCTCTCAAACCCGCTTCGCCAGAAAGCTGTGCCACCTCCAACATCTGATCTACAAGAACAAGAAGCCTTGCTGAATTCCAAGCATTGGACCGGTCACCTGCTCACCGTGCCCATTCACCCGCGTACCCCAAAACCAAGCTTCCCCCGTCTTCCTTCCCCGCCATCCTCGCCCCAAAACTTCAATGTGCCTTGCCTAGAGACAAACCCAAAAAAAAAAGCCTAAAAGAACAAGTGCCACATCCAATCCATCCTGCTCGCTTCCTCGCCAAGAGCATCCACGGCACGCCTCGCCTTCGCTCGGTCTGACACCTCTCGGTGCGATGACGCACCATGATGGCGCAAGTTAGACTTGAATGCCTGATTCAATAGGAGCCAAGATGGGCTGAGCCGGCTTGACTGTGTCCAGTTGCAAGTGAGTTGATCATGAGATGCAGCTCTTTGGGCTGGGCCAGAGAGGTATATGAGGTCTGGGGCATCTCCGATAGATAGCCGGAGAAAGAAGACGCCGTTACCCAAGCCCATCAAAAAACTGATCAAATAAATTCTAATCGGTTTCAATTGAGTCATTTTTCTTCCTGGTATTCGTTGTCGATGTGAAGGACGCGGTCCCACGATGCAGCTGATCCTCCCCCTCCTGACCCTCCTCGCCGGAGTCTCGGCCGCACCAATTAAGGGCCTCGACCGCGCAACAATCCAAGATGAATACGACTTCATCATAGCAGGAGGTAATACATACACCCTCTCTTCTCTCACATTTACAATACTTCAGGCGGCTAACTCGCCTTTTCCCTTTCAAAGGCGGCACCGCCGGCCTCGTCCTCGCAAACCGCCTCTCCGAGTCCGGCAAACAGCGGGTCCTCGTCCTCGAAGCGGGGCCGAACCCCGAGGTCGTCTCGGCCTACAAGCCGCCCGGCGGCAACCAGTTTCTCGGCGGGACGGCCATCGACTGGTCCTTCTACACCACCCCGCAGGAGCACCTCGACGGCCGCATCCTCCGCTACCACCGCGGCCGGTGCCTCGGCGGAAGCAGCGTGACCAATGGCTTCTACTACGGACGCGGCAGCTCGTCCGTCTACGATGACTGGGTCAAGGTCGGGAACCCGGGTTGGGGATGGGACGACGTCTATCCTCTGTTTGTCAAGGTAAACCCTTCTTCAGTTGTCCAGGCTAGGGTGTTTGTCGTATATTACTGACACGGTAACAGGGCACGCATTTCAACCCTCCAACGGACCATCAAGTCCGAGGCTTTGACGTTTCCTACAAGACCCACGACTCCTCCGCCTACGCCGACGGTCCCCTCCAGCTCGGATTTCAGGGTTACGTCCCGCCCTCGGGCGTAGGCTTCATTGAGGCCGCCTCTGAAGCTTTGCAGATCCCCATCATCGAGGACCACAACACGGGCAACAGCACTGGGGTGAAGCAGGGGACGGGCCACCTCGACGCTGGCTTCATGCGAAGCTCCAGCTACGATAGTTACCTAAAGCAGGCTGAGGACCGGAAGAACCTCGATGTGCTGCACTTTGCTCCCGTGTGGAAGATCAACTTTGACCAGGCGGAAGAGGGGAAGAAGCCCAAGGCTGTGGGAGTTGCATTCATGGATCATCCTACGGGTATTGTGCATGAGGTTAGAGCGAAGAAGGAAGTTATCGTCAGCGCGGGAGCATTCAACTCGCCTCAACTTCTGATGGTTTCTGTGAGTTTCTCTCGAGTGTTGGACATGGCATGATGAAGATAGGTCATATACTAACCTCGTCCGCTTCAGGGCGTCGGTCCATCTTCCCAGCTCAACGAATTCGGCATCGAACCTGTCCACGTCAATGAGAACATTGGCCAACAGTATGTCCCCTCCTTTTTTGCCTTCTCTCACACCACAACTAATATCATCCCCTTCCCAAGCCTAAACGACCACTCCGTCTTCAGCATAATGGCCCTCTCGACCCCCGAGTTCTCGACAACAGACATGGCAGCAACCTACCAATCCCTCCGCGCCGCCCAGGACGAGTTCTACACCAACGCCACGGGTGAGTACACGGCCCCTCGGGCATCACAAACGCCTTCCAGAAGCTGTCCGTCGAGGAGCTGCAAGCCATTGGTGCGGGCGACGTCGTCACAGCGGGGCTGGCGAACCAGTCGCACATCGAGTACCTCTTCGAGAGTGTCTTTTACCCGAGCGGGCCGACACCGTATTACACACCCCGCGGCAACGAGACGTATATTTCCCTCACGGCGTCGAGTATGGTGGCGCTCTCGAGGGGGAATGTTACACTGAGGTCGAACTCTATGGCTGAGACGCCGAGGATCAATCCCAACGTGAGTCTGCGTTTGTTTCCTTTCCATGCTCCTAACTTATCTCAGAGGGCGTGGTCACTTCAATCCTTATTTCTCTATCACAAACGTCAAAAAGAAACAGGATAGACTGACAGTCATCTAGTACTACGCCCACCCAGCCGACCGCAAAATCGCTCTCGCCTCCTTCAAATACCTCCGCAAGATCCTCGCCCACCCGCGCATGTCAGAATACACCGTCGGCCCCTCCCACGGGGAAGTCTCCCCCGGTGCCGGCGTCTCGGAAGACGACGAGGACACCGTGCTGGCCTACGTCCGCGCCAACACGATCCCCAACTGGCACGCCTCCGGCACGAACCAGATGTTGCCCGAAGAGAAAGGCGGCGTCGTGGACCCGCGGCTGAGGGTGTACGGCGTCGATGGGCTACGGGTCGTTGATTGTAGCATCATTCCCATCTTGCCTGATGTTAATATCGTGGGATCGGTGTATATGATTGGGGAGAAGGGGGCGGAGATGATCCGCGAGGATTGGGGGGATTTGTGATTGTGGTCTTGGATGAGTGGTGTCTAATGATGGTGTGATTAGTGTCGATAGAGCTCAGTTCTAGATGCGAAGTAGCGGTTGATGTTGTCTCATGTGTAATGAGTACATGTTACTTTCAGTTGTCGTCCGCGGCCATTCCTCTGCTCAACCAGGTAGATAACTTCACACTTAGGCAACGGAGTTCCATCACCCTCCGGAGCCGAAGCAATGGCAGCCAACAACCGGCCGTCGGCTCTTACACAAGACTCCTGCCTGCCAGAGACTAATATCACCTCATAGCAAGCAAAGGACCCTAGCATGCTCCATCCTCGCCCAGACTTGCCATCTCAACTTTCTTAATCTGCTCCAGTGACTAGAGACAACATGATACACTCATCCGACGACAAGAAAGGCACAAGCCGGGATTCCTGCTCGACAACCACTCATTAAGGCAACATGAAGTCAAACAGCATGGCA